GAGGTAAGTTATGCTTCCCACACCTTCCTTGCTTCAACTCCTTTGCTCTTCAAGCTTTTCCCTCCTAGCCAACCTTCTTTCCAAGGCTTAAATCACACCAAGAAGAGTACCACATGAATTAGGGTTTCACGAGCTTCTCAAAGACTGTAAAGAGGCCAAAGGAGGCTGAGGCTCCTTTAAATAGGGTGCAAAAACCCCGGGATTTACGGTTTCATCTGTCAGCTCCTACTCATCGAGTCCCTTCATGTACGCGGCGAGTAGGTCACTAAACATGCGTATCAAACCCGTTGCTACTCGACGAGTAGGGTAACCAACTCGTCGAGTAAGCCTTGAAACCAATTAAATTCTTATTTAAACGATACCTAGGAATTGGGGCATTACAATGGATTTCATCACCAAGTTACCTCATACGGATAAGGGATTCAATGCGATATGGGTTATCCTGGACCATCTGACCATGAGCGCTCACTTTCTATCCATTCGAGAGACTTTTTTGGCCGAGAAATTAGCCGATTTGTACATGCGCAAGATTGTTGCTCGACATGGTATTCCAATCTCCATTATATCTGATCGAGACGTTCGATTCACATCTCGTTTTTTGCAGAAGTTCCATGAAAAACTGGGTACAAGGTAGCATCTTAGCAGTTATCATCTGCAGACTAACGATCAGAGTGAGCAGACCATTCAAACACTTGAGGACATGTTGAGAGCATGTGTCATAGACTTCGATGGGAGTTGGGACTCCTACCTTCCCTTAGCTGAGTTTTCTTACAACAACAGTTGTCACTCCAGTATTGGTGCACCGCCATTCGAGCTTCTCTATGGGAGGAAGTGTCGTATCCTGGTTTGTTGGGGAGAGGTTGGTCATAGAGTCATGGGAAGAACTGAGGCAGTCCTTCAGACGATAGAGCTTATTCAGCATATTAGATAGCAATTGCAGATAGCTTAGAGTTGGCAGAAGAGTTATAAGTTGATGACATGGTTTTGCTAAAAGTATCACTCTGGAAGGGTGTTATACACTTCAAGAAGAAGGGAAAGTTGGGTCCCCAGTATATTGGGCCATTTCGAGAGATCGCTAGAGTTGGAAAGGTAGCTTACAGATTGGATTTATCTGAGGAGCTCAGTTAGATTCACAACACCTTCCATGCATCTCAACTTCGGAAGTGTGTGGCTAACAATTCAGCGGTTTTTCATATGCATGATATCCAGGTTGATCATCATCTTAACTATGTTGAGAGACCAGTAGCGATTTTGGATCAGAAGATGAAAACCTTGTACAAGATGGTGGTGTCTTTGGTCAAGGTTCAGTGGCAGCATCGGAAGGGTTCTGAACAGATGTGAGAACCCGAGTCATAGATACGAGAGCATTACCCTGAGTTGTTCACAACAGCGGACTTCGAGGACGAAGTCTAGTTCAATTAGGGGAGAATTGTAACATCTTAATATTGAGGTATTTTTATTTTATCCCTAAGTATGAGAAGTAATTTCATTTTTTTGACCTTGGATGAGAATCAATTGCAAAATTTGACCAAATGGCATTTTCGTAAATTTTGGGATCAGCTTACGTACGCTGTGCATTCCCCCAAGTACGATGGGCGTACATGCTACGACCCCAAACCCTAATATTTACAGTTTGGATCCTATTTAAGCATCCTTATGTCCCCGAACTACCTTCTTTCATCAGCCTCCAACCTAATTTCATCCCCAAGCAAACTCTAATCCATTTTAGAGCATTCTTGAGAACTTTTGTGTGTTTTGATAACCTTATAGGAGAGAGAAAAAAGAGAATATCATCTTGGAGGAGTGGGAATCTTTAGATCCAGAATAACAACATCATTTAGCATCATTTGGAGGTAAAAAGCTCTGAACTTGATTAAGAGTTGTTTAGATATTGTTATGAAATAGTGTTCTTTTGGTCCCATAAGTTTGGTATTATGATAGGAATCTTAATTGTTAGATTCCTCTCATGCATGTGTTACAAGGTCCTAATTGGTTAAGTAGTTAGGGTTTTAGTGTTTGGGCACTTATTGACCATGCAAGGTCATAAATTTGGAAACTTTATGGTTAAGGACATTAGTTTAGGGTCAGATCTAAGAATTAGATAAAAAAAAAAAAAAAAAAAAAAAAGCTTAAGGGAATAAGCTCTTAATAGAAAGGTTGAAGGAAGGTTGTGTACGATGGGTGTAAGGGTTGGTACGATGAGCGTATTGGGTCAGCTTCGCATTTTAGGTCAAGGGATGAGTACACCCCACGTACAGGCTGAGTACAGTGTACTCAGCTGTGTTGATGAAGTTTGACTTTTTAACTTTGACCTATTTTGACCAAGTTTGACCTAAGGTTATTTTGAGTATTTTTAGTGGTATTTGAGACAGGTGATCATGTACATCCTTCGGTTTTATGTTATTTAGATTTGGGGATACTCTGATTACTAAAATACACTTTTGAATCAATGGTTTTGTAAACAATTATGGTTTTGGGTTGTTTTGAAAAGTTAAAATTTATTGTGATTTTTGGAATGTTACAATATATTTCCTCACACGTGTCTAGAATGCCCTCATTACAACAAAATGTTCCAAATTTGGTTCTCTTAAGTGCCGCACCAAGTCACTTTCCTAAGTGAATCCATATGTTTATGTGAAACTGCGGTTTCAAAATACCACCAATCATCGCCACCGCCGCCACCCCCATGACTGACACCACCTCCACTATCAACCCATGTTGCCCACCACTACCGTTTTCTAAAAATAAAAACCTATAAAAAATATACATCTAAAAATGTTTTCTAATTTTCTAAAACAAAATTGAAAAATGAATAAGTTTATCTAAACGCATTTTGTAAATTTTCTAATGAAAACTGAAAATGAAAACTTATTTCATTTTTCTAACAATTGAAAACGAAAATTTGTTTTTTCCATAACTAAACGCAACCTTGGAAAAACAATTTCCATTTTCCACTTTCATTTTTCAAAAAAATGAAATCAATTATCATTAGAGATTTTAGAAAACGCATTTAGTTAAAAATTTATTTATTTATTGTTTTTTGTTTTAGAAAATTAGAAAAAATGTTTAGATGTGTATTTTTTCATCGATTTCATTTTTAGAAAACAGTGGTGGTGGTAAGTTGGAGGTGGGTGGTTGGGAAATGATGGTGGTGGCAACGGTGGTGATGGTGGTCGTGATAAGGGTCGTGGCGGTGGTCATGATGCAGAGCTTATTGGACTTTCTTATAGGGAAAAGTGGGGTTGACATCTTTTGATTGTTTAACTATCAAGGGCGTTTTTCATTGCTGTAAGAATCAGGATTGAAATAATGTGGGTTGGCTTTTGAAATATTGAATAAAGAAACTATGAGTTCTGATCCTTTATTGGCGTTTATTCATTTCTATATCACGGCCTACATCAGTGGTGTCAAAGTCCTTTCGATCTTCCCCACCACCATGGCAAGTAGAGGACGACATGGAAGGGCGGTGGTGGTGGTGGTGATGATGACGACAACGATGATGGGCTAGTGGTAGTGGTGATGGTGGATCGGTGATTATGGTAGTGTGGCGGGGGGGTGGGGATGTGGGAGTAGATGGGTGCGTGGATATTGGTTGGGGTGGAATGGCGGTGTGAAAGAATGTGTGTTTGTATTTTAGAAAACTCTGGAATTAGAAAAATATTGAAAACAATAATTATCAGTTTTTTAAAATTTTCTAAGTTTTTTTAAAATTTTGGAAAATAGCAAAATTTCATTGTGAAAATTTTAAAAAAAAAAAAAAAAGATGTTGAACTAAATGCGTTTTCAAAATTATAATTTTTCTTAGAAATTTTTTCCGAAAAACAATTCATTTTTCCGTAACCAAACGCACCCTTAGTTTTTTCCACAATTCTCCAAATGAGTTTAAAAGTTTATTTCAACGCCAATGAACCAAAATATATTCAGATCTCAAAATAATTATTCCAAATGATCAATTCAGACTAGAATCAAAAGTAGATTGTTATTCCAATTTATTAAATCCATTCAAATGAAGTTCTAGATTCAAAGTTCAAACACATCAAAAGAATACATGATCTCAACATAACCTTCAAATCATTCCACTCACAATTTAGAAGCCACTAGTCTAATATTTTGTATTAGTTAACATCATTTGAGATTAGGATAAGCTAGATTGACCACAAATTTATGATTCATAATTTCCCGATCTCTTATGAAGATATAATCAAGCAAAGGAAATGAAGAAAGATCGGTGAATTAATGGTAGAATTTAAGCTAGATATTCATCTTTCATCAATTCCACCACAGAATCACGAATTTGCAAGGATTCAAAACCATTGGTTCCTAGATGAAGACGATTAGTGATGAGGATCGGTCGGATTTTGGCTAAAACCAAAGCCAAACCATAGAAGTCGGTTTTTTCGGTTACAAACCCATGGGGGTTCGGGTTCTATATGGGTCTGTTTTACAGTTTTCAGTTTTGGTTTGTAGGATCTTGGGGTTTGTGGGTCATAATTTTTTGGGTTTTCATATTCAAACCCATTAAAAGTTCGTTGCTGTAAAATAAACAATATTAAATCCAATTTAAATACTAAAAGAGCTATTAACTAATAACCACCTAAGACGTGAGAGTATTTTCATTTTTCTTAACGATAATATATATATATATATATATATATATATATATATATATATATATATATATATATATATATATATACTAAAAAATACATATGGTGGGTCTTTTTTGGTCAGATTTTGGACGATTTTTAACCCCATGGATCGGGTCGGTTTTATTTTTATTATGGTTATTTCTTTATCATTTTGGGTTTTTTATTATTTATCTTATTTATTTATTTATTTATTTATTTATTTCCTTAGAATTAAATATTTTTATTTTATTAAATTTTCAATTATACTTCAAATACTAAAACTTCTAGCCCGAAAATATGGGTGCTACATTAAGTATTGCATACACAAACGCAAAAACAGTTCCTTTTTTTGGAACAAAAACACCATCTAAATTCAAGTAAATGACAATTTTAACCTTCACAAAGAAAGATAAACATATGCACCAAAAACATAAGTCTATTAAGATTAGAGCCACAACCAACATAGAACCAGATTAACCCCGATAGAGAAATATGTTCCTTCAAAAATCCTAAATACAAGCTCGAAGTTTTTCAGTTTGTTTCCTATTGAAGTAACATTGTTACTAAAAACTGTTACAACTTTAATAAACTAAATTTTAGTTTGCAAGTGTTGACCTTAAAGTTGTTGATTCGTTTGTTTTCTAGTTCCCAGAATCATCATCTTTGCCATCTTCTTCAGCCAACTGCTTTTCCTTTTCTTGTTGCTCTGCAAAACGTACAACATGATGTAAGTGAAGTGCCAAACATCACCTTCAACAAGAGAATTAATAAAAATCAAAAATAAATAAATAGCATACCAATAAGTTGAAATATGGCCTTTTGTGTACGTTTTTCAAGCTTATCAAGTTTCTTCTGTACATCCCTTCTAAGATCCCAGTTCGGCTTTTTGGGGGCAATGTTCAAAAAAGGATCCTGGAAAACATTTGAGAAACTCATTATATTACTACATAAAATGAAAAACAAATCTATAGAAGGTTAATTAAAATAAACATCAAAATTTACCTTCTTTTCCTCTTCAATGGGAGGTTCACTAGCTACAGGGTCTTCAAATTTTGGTAACTTTGGTGGAGCAAGTTTACCCTCTTGAAGCTGCTTATCATGAGGAAGGTAATTTCGGAATTTCACATTAACATCACTGTAAAAAAATTCAGTACTTTGTTAGCATTTACACTGCCTTTATACAGAAAACCTCACCTTGCACTATTTAATGTCTGTTTATTGTGTAAAAAGGACACAATTTAAAACAAATTATATGTCATTTGTTTTCTAGTGAGCAGTATATCAAAATTAAATTGAAAGCTAGAAAAGGGAAAGGATTGTGGATGCTTACTTTTCTTCATCATCGTTTCCATTTTCATCTTCCTTATCATTGGGTGCTCCATCTTCTTCAGGATTTTCAAGAAGTTGTTGAGCAGCTTTCAAAGCTTTCAGCCTCTCACGTCGGGCTGCTGCTGCTTGCTCTATGGTTTCTTCTTCATCAATAGCCATCTTTCAAGATCACCACTCACCTATACACCAATTTATAAGATTGTATTTGAACAATTTTCTTACAATCATAATAACAGAGGGCATGATATATGGTTACAAATTAGTAAGACTGCATATTATTTGTTATAAACTTGTAATCTATTGCCAAGTTTCTCTTGAAAACGATATATTCCCTCCAAATGGGGGGAGTAGCAAACCCTAGGCTGAGATTTTTCAAATCAAACCTACTGTTCCAATACGAGTTTTACCTTAGCGCTTATAGGTTTATATAAGTAAGTTTCTTATAATATTTGTAATACAGAGGATTTCATATTCAGAAGCTGGAAGCATTCCAGCTATCATAACAAGTCGTCAAAGTTCGTCTTTAGGTTTTACATTTACGGAGGAAGTAATAACATCTTTCTTTAATTACGAGGGTTTGAACTTTAGGGTTTATCAGTAATAGAGATCTGCAGATTCTTCCACGCATATCAACTGACTTTCTATTAGGAATTCAACAATTAGCTATAAAAATACTAATTCGAAAAAATCTCAACTTTAAACAGTGCTATAAGTTCGATTTAACAAATTATAGCAAAATTACATTTATAAAAAAATAGCTTGTAGATATTAGTCAATAAATACACATAAAGAAACACGAATTCAGAGCAGAAAACTTACTTGATTAGAGGGAGATTGAAGACGAACGAAAGCGGGAACCGAAGTTACAATCGATAAAACTTTCTGAAATACTCCCAAAATCCACCCGCACAGCACTCAGCAGCGGTATTGTATTTTTAGTGAAGTACAATTTCGTCCCTCAAATATGTATCAATTTGGATGTTTAGTTTATTAAGGAAGTTTTTCGTATTTTTTTTATCCAATACATTCTTTCATATATTATTCAGATCTAGTAAACGTGTCATGTCATGTCATGGTAGGTTGAAAATTAAAGAATTGAAAAGTTTAGACCCTAATATTACATGTTTAACCTGTTTACTAAACAGATAGAAATCTTTTACTAAAACTCGTTTATTTCATATTGAGTTTATATCGGGTTATATTGTTTAGGGTTTAGACCTTATAAATGTGTTGTATCATGTTGGGTTGAAAGATATTGAACCTACCCTTACCTATTTAATTTGTGTGTGTTGTGTCGGTCTGTTTAGTTAAAGCTTTAAAAGGGTTGCAATCTTTTAATAAAACTTTTTTATTTCATATCGGTTTTGTGTAGAGTTAGTGTGTTATGTCAGTTTTTGCCAGCTATATTTAATATCTTGTATTTATGTAGCACATAAGATTAAGTTATAAAAAATGTTCTAACATTAAGTTTAGGAGTGGTTAGGATTGTTTATTCTATTTATTGAGGCTTAAGAGGATGTTTACTCTACGAATCATCTTTGGGTACCAAGAAATAACATTAAGTTTAGGGGCGATTAGGATTACTCATGTTCTTTAACTTCATCATGTGGAACTTCCTTCATTTTTAGCATGACCTCCTTCATCTTTGGTATTAACACTTATGTGGGTCAAAGGGGTGTCAATTGGCTTCTTCAATGATATAACCTCAACAACCTCTTTTGTGATCAAATGATAGGTCTAGCATGATTGACTCCACATCTTCATCATAGCCTTCACCGGAAGTACCTCCTTTTTGGTCATTTTTTCTCCTCAATCCAATCAATTATTGGTTCAATGAAGTGGTCAACATATACACTAACTTTTCCCTCATTAGCGTCAAGGGTGTAGAACTCGGTACTCAGTACTTGTTCGGCCGACTGCCGAGTAGCGAGTACTCTTGAGTACTCGGATTCGGTAATTCATGTAGAAATATTTGTAGAAAAATTATATATGTCAAAATCATAAGTTAATTGAAATATATAACAAAATTAGATACATGTGAATACACAAAAATTGAAAAACACACAATGGTCTCACTACGTGAATAATTACTAAAAATTTAAGATATATACGTAGTAATAATCACATGTATATGTGTTATATAATAAATCATTAAGTATAGTATACATACTAGTTGTGAGACTCATATATTATATAGGTTTATTCTCAAAAAAAAAAAAAAAAAAAAAAAAAAAAAAAAAAAAAAAAAAAACATGAATATCTAACAATTTAGAAATTTTAAATTTATAATATATATATATATATATATATATATATATATATATATATATATATATATATATATATATATATAATTATTACAATTGAAGTGTTTATTTATTTTTTAAATTTAAACTAATAATTTAAATAAATAAATAAAATAAAATAAAATAATTAGATTCAATTTAAAATTTAAAAAATTATAAGGAAAGTTGCATTAATAAATTGGATATACATTTATTATATTTATTTAAGTATTATATGAAATTTAATAAAATGGAAAAAAAACCACAAAACGACACATAGATATAATTTAATTTAAATTTCTCACAAAATGACATGTGGCATAATGCACAAGAAGATGACAAGTGGCAAAATTATTTCATTTATTAGGAAAGATTACTCATCGAGTTGGCTGAGTTTTACAACACTACTCGCTTCAGTAAGGAACCGAGCGTGGAGTACTCGGATTCTATAACTCGTCTCGGTAAGGGACCAAGTAAGGAGTAATCGGTCAACTCGCCGAGTTTTACAACACTGATTAGCATACACAATGTCAAATCATCAACATATTCATCATCATTTCTTAGAGTTGTCAATTCATCTCTCAATGATCGATTACCAAGACACTAGTAGACATTATACACTTCTCCTTAATCAATATTTCAAGAAAATAAACAAGTCATTATAACCCATGAAACTGAAAATCAATATCCCTAACAAAAACTTTAGGTGGGTTGTAATGGACGATAGTCTTTGTACCGAATACTCCTTTGTCCCGAATGTCGAGGGTTGAGAGCTTACTTTTCATTTTTTGTTGGAGGAACACCTTTGCTTGTGTTTGATTAAAGTGTACCAGAGTTTTAGAATGAAATGAGGGGAAAGTTGTAATATCCACGTGAAATTTTCCTAATATCCACATAAAATGTTCCTAATATCCGCATAATCATTCTTATTTCCAAATAAACAAAATAATTTTGTGACCCCACGAATGCATGTTAAAATGGCATTTTTTGAACAAATTATATAAGATTAATGGTAAAATATGTACAAAAATAAGGTCAGAGACTAAATGTGTACAAAAATGGAAAGTTTGTTACCCTCTCAAATCGTTTTCCCTTTTTCGAAACAAGAAGTCTTTACTTGACAAAATTTTCCATTTAAAAAACCAAAATTGCAAATCTAAGACATTTACATGCAAGAATAAATGCTGATTACAAACGAGAGCTAAATAATACAGATGATTCTAGAAACCTATTACACTTCATTGATTTCTTGGCGGCATCGATGGCGGATCTCTGCCTTGAGGTGGCGGTGGAAAGGATCTGAAGTCAGGATAGGGATAGCCACCTAGCGATTTCTCTTGAGGTTGTATGGATAGCAATTGAGTCGAGTCACCAACTACATCAGCCCATCCATAGTAAGGTTCCGCCCTTCAATCAAATACACAAAAATTCAAGTTCAAAGCTCGTAAATTCGTAATAGCAACGTACTTTCATATATAAAAAAATAATAATTAAAAAAAAGGACTTTCTTGTAATATGTTTCCTCATTTACAACGATATCCCAACTTTCCCCGATTGTGCTTTTGCCATATTTGTGCACCTTTCTGATAAAAAGTAGAAAAAGAATAAAAAAAATAAAAATAAACATTGTGAGATCACGAGACGATATAAATAAAATAAAGGTTGTTGAATAATTTGATAAATACTTGTTCCCAAAGTGTTCTTCACCCCATGTCCTTGACCATCCTGATAATATATCAATGCAACAATCAAATTATTATACATAACAAATTGATTAAAAAAATGCAACATATTAAATGTTTAAATGAAAATCTTGAAACTGATTTCTCTCATAACAGTATGGAGAAGAGGATTACAACGTACACGTTACTAACCCATAATAGCAACATACTTATATTTCATTAATAGTTTATTCCTTTTACCAATATAAGGAATACACAATTTTATGCCCATAATAACAATATACTTATGTAGATTTGCCCATAATAGCAATGTACTTACGTTATTTACCAATAATAACAGTATGTAAGTTATATAGCAATGTACTTACATTTCCATTTCCTTAGACATGATTATAATGTACTTACTATTCTTTACCAACAATGGCAACATATTTACATTTTTTACCAATACGTACATTGCCAGTATTGGTAGCAAATTGTAACTACGTTATTATCAATAACATAATGTTATTTACTGATAATAAATAGCATTGTATGATAATCAATTCATTTGATGGAAACATAAGTAATTTTAACAAAGATTTCTTAGAAAATGAAAATGTCATGGTTTTCATTGGACCACAGGAAGGCATGTGTTGCTCCTTTCATCCAACGAAAATGGCAACAATTTCCAAGTTGAGATGTGCATCCAAACTAAAAGTTCTTTCCTTGCACAAAATTTCAAACGATTATCTTTGCTTTATGTATTTATCATTGTGATGTTTATATGTTATTAATGTTATTGATTATCTTTGCTTTATTAAAAGAACTATATTGTTTCTTAATAGTATAGTCTTTGTAATCATGTTATAAAATTCGAAAAATCGGAGCAAAATGTGTTGGCAGTTAACACAAACAACCCAAACCCATTTGACACGTTTCCCACCCCACCAATTTGCCACCTAGTACACATAATGTAGGTGGATCCATAAAATTGATGACATTGAAGGGTATTTTAGACCTTTTTACTAATAATCAAGAGTAAATGGAAGGAATAGGATGAGACATACGTTCACCAGCAGGTGTGACATGCCATGTCTCTCCTTGACGAGATCCAACACCACCAAAAAACTTCTCCTCCCATTTGTCTCCCCATTTCGTCCCAATTTTAGTCTCAGCCCATTTGTCTGTCCTGAGAAAAACAAACAAACAAACAAAAAGTTTTTTTTAAATGAATGGAATTGGAAGCTAAAGAAGTTGAGATCTAGGCAGAAAACAGAATGGAATTAAATTCCATCGATTTGGCGACCAAGCACGTTAAGGAATGGAATCTCGAATTCTAATTCCAAAGCATTCATTCGTAAAATATAATTATGTTGTTGATGGTTGGCTGGAAACATACATACCATTTTAGAACGGATCCCCTTCCATCATAATGCTCTCCCCACTTTTCCCACCATGACTGCTCATTTAGTCTACCATACTTATTTGCTCCTTTTTCGGTCGACCCTTTCGCATCGTAACTTTCCCACCTACATTATTAAACATAATTGATTTAATGCTACCTTTTTGGTTTTCTTAGGCCCTAAGACAAGTCACAAGACACAACAAAACAGGTTATATTGCATCTGGCATTCATTAACCATTGGACAAAAGATTGCAACATTTTAAAAGGTAGGGCAGATATTCGTTTGTGAAAAAGACATGAATGCCCTCCTCATGAAAGTTTTTCATGGTAACAAAATGTAGTTGTAAGTAGATTTACATAAAATAAAGGCATCAATGCAATCCATAGAAGGAGAATGTCCATACCAGTTCTCATACCGTCCAACATTTTCTGTGCCTGATTTTGCTTGTTTTTGTGCACTTCTTTCTATCCTTGCTATATTACTACATTTCAGAGAGAGAGAGAGAGAGAGAGAGAGAGAGAGAGAGAGAGAGAAACAGATCCAAATTGCTAAGAAAATAGTTTTGGTAATTAAAATTTAGATTTAGAATGCAAATACAAATAATTTTTAACCTCCATCCATCTTGGTGAAGAACTTCTCACCATGTTTCCCACCATGAATCCCCTTGAGAGTTCCTTTCAGATTTCTCAACACCTACAAATTACCAAATTTTAGAATATCAACAAGTAGTAAATAGTAAATAGTACATAGGTGGATACCTAGCTCTTTGTATCCAGTCCAATCACTTTTCTCCCACCACTGTCAAGGAGAATCAATAAATCCAGTTAAATCTATCCACCTAGGATCATACTTCACAAGGTCATCAAAACAAATTATTCACACCAATCATAACCACTATAACTCAGAATCACTTAGTGTCACATGTTTTCCTTTGTTAATAGCATGTTCGTAATACCAGAAGAGGCAACCCATAATACTAATGTACTTACATTTCTTTACACATAACAGAAACATACTTATAGTTTACAAACCATTGTCTTAGTTTTAACTTTCAAGAAAAGTAACATATAATATATACTATAAATTATTAAATACATGAATGAAAATAGTAATACTGATTATTTCCATTTTGAAGAGGCATCACTGCTTTGACCACCCATCTTTGTCCATCTACATCTATATCCATTTTCACCCAAGTCCTCTCCACTTTCTCTATACCAGCTACTACCATCCTCATTAATGCCAGATTCATTAACATCTTCAGTTAACAAATTGATGCCCATGTCCTTCTCATTTGCAATACCCGTATCTAACATTAAGAAACCAATAAACTCCAGGGGTTAGATTCAAGAAAATACCAATATACTTTCATTGGTTTGTTAATTATAGCATCCTACTTTAAAAAATCTACCCAATTACAAAGCAATTTTCATTGATGTAGTAAGAAAAACAATTGAAAGTACAATGCTATAAGTGGGCAGAAGAAAATAATTAAAAGTACAATGTTGTAATAGAAAAATATGAAAGTAGGATGCTATAAATAATACACAATCTTTACCTCTTTTTGGTGGAGTGTCACGAGACTGTGGCCTAGAATTTCTAGGGGTATAGCGTGGAAAAAACTTTTCTTGTCTTGAAGCCAGCCGAGGTCTACAGCAATCATAAATTCATAAAGCAAGTAAAACCTCAAGTTTTCAACCAGCAATTGAGTCAATTTTAAGTGCTTAGTATTGAAATGTCATTATTTAATTGGAGATGAGTTTTGAATAAAGAAGTTATGTATGAGAAGTAAGACCATGTATATTTTTTGTATCTCAACAATCACCAATGAACAACTTTACTACTTCAAAGTTTATGCTTTTAGCATAAAATAGCTTATAATATATAAGCACAAAAGACAAGAGGTGGAGTCAAGTACTCCAAAAGAATCAAGATTATCAACCTACCTAGATATATAAGGTTGAAGTTTTGTTAAAGATAGCAAATATAATATTAATAACATGCCATTTATAGAATTATGTTATGATGTTTTGCACCAAATGCCTTTTCACTCATATTAGTGAGGTAGACCAAAACCCTGTTATGAATTGTGGAGATTGATGTTTTAAATAACATACTATCACACGTGAATTTCAATTGAATAGCAGATTGAGTTATGTTGCTCAGATGAAACCACTGCAACACTGTCAGAACAGAACAATCAAAGTGATGAATGACACAACAAGAAATGTTGCCAATAATAATGATTTGTGATAGCTTTTGCACATTTTATTAGTTCATTGGTCCCATAGTAAGTGTTCGTTTTCCAAAGAAAAGTCAATATTCAACTTAGGTTTCAATGTGATTTTTTTAATTGATGTCCATCAAATTGTAACGACCTAAATCATACAAGAAGCACCAGAACTTTAGAAATGAAAACGGTGTTCGAATGCCTAAAATTTCATGGTAACAACGAATTTAGTATGTATTAATTCGACATTAAATATATAAAATAGACACTTTTTGCAAAATCTAGGGAGCAATGCTTCATATCCAATTGTCAATCCCAAAAATTGAACGATTTGAGATGTCAAACTGCGAAATTGTCACTTTTTTCAAGCTAAAAAATTATTGAATTAAGATGTGCTACAAAAGCCGATAAAAGAGGGCAGAGAAAGGGGGACAATCAAATTGAGTAAATTATGATGTCCATTAAACTGGAGCATTGATTAGTACAATGGTGCCCATTACCTAACCATCACTATTACATAGCAATTATACACACACATTAACTAAAAGAAGCGAACATATTGAGATGATGCAAAAGACCATGCAGATGAAGCTTGTACTCGAACTTTATGAACCTTCTTGCTCAAATCACTCGGTTATTCTTCAATTTTATCCACACCCTTACATCCATCACCAATAACAACACTCTGAATCAGAACAAACTTATCGGAACAACAACATTTTAACCTGAAACCACCTCGTAGAATCAAAAGCTTCCGCTGGAGTAACAACGTGGGAGGGAAATCTACTTCCTGCAACCGCAATGCAAATGGCGGACGCAGCGCACCGGAATTTAATGTTATTGTCGAAAACTCAATTATAATTCATACAAATTCCATTAGCAAGTTGAGGTTTTAAGTAACTAAAACCCTAGTCGGTTCTTAATGAATCCATACACTTCGCAACCATTTTTGGAAACTTTCATAAGTAGTCTGGTTAGGGGACTGGAGGAGATTCGAAAGAGCAATACGGAGCTTTGGAGACAGAAATCAGAGGCCTGACATCTTTGCAAAATGCGAAGGAAGTGAGGATTTTGAGAGTGTGTGTTTTTGGGTGTTTGTGTGTGAGAGAGATAAATGGAGATTCACCTATCGTTTCCGTTGGTGTGACAATGGGGAAATCCCGGAGGTTAAAGAGTGGGGTCATTGTTGTTGTTCCACTATTTTGTTTACATGTGGCAACAGTTATAGTTCGAATAAGTTCTTCCATCATTAAATAAAAGTAAAAAATCAAAATTAAATAATCGACTTTCAATATAATTTTATTATATGTATTTTTCATATTTATGTTTAAAAGGTTTGAATGATAACCTTATTGTTATAATAAAATAAACTAACTGATTAATTAATATAATTTTATTATATCTCATGCACCAATTTCATATGTTGGCAATGTCTAATTCTTATATAATTCTATAGACTTTCACATATAATCTCTTCTCCTATTCTTATATGTGTACGACCTAATGTAATTATGTAGAGTGCAATTCCTTATAGGACAGAGAAGTAAAGGTGACATTTGGGAGCATTTGACTTGAACAATTCTAAAAGGTACTGATGGTTTCAATGTATTTGTGTGTAAAATTGTTTTCGAGTAAGTATTAATCTATAGTTTGATTTATCTTATTCTATAAAATCATTAGAGAGGTAAAATCATTGTTTATTGTTAATTCGGGAAGGCACTGATGGTTTCGGAGTCTTGTTTGCTTATTAATCTACAGTTTGATGCATGAAAGTGATAACGATTATTAGTTGTAGAAGCCAATCAATATCACCATTGTTATAAGAATGAAATTTCTTAAGCATAGTATTTATAGTGATTCAAGGTGAGATCAAGATGTGCTATAGAAAACCATGATTTTTTTTCTTAAGCAATATGATACGATATAAAAGATTATGTTAATGGTGCTAAAGTATTGATATGATAATTAGCATAATGGAACTCCCTGAAAATGATGATAAACTTTCACTGTTGTTGTGGAAAATTTATACATGACTACTTGCATTTTTAGATATTTGCTCTTTCAGTTTCCATTTATATTAGCAAGCAAAGTGTTTGTGTGGCATATATATGTGAAAAAAACAATTAGTTGTCTAATAACAATTATTAAAATTGAACCAATGTGTATAATATAAATAATTATTCACCCATATGTTACTACATTAGTTTGTAATATTTGGTTGTTAAAAAAACAACCATCACAAAAGATGAACTTTTTCAATTGAATTTAGTTAATATTCCATTGAATTAATGATGATTTAAATGGATCTAAAGGTTCTTGCAGTGTATGCAACTTGTAGTGATGAAAAACTACAAAGTTGATTTCCTCTACAAGGACAGGTAGGTAATTTCACATCTTACATATTTTGGGTAAATCCAAATAACTAATAAGCTTCATCGCATAGTTGGAACTTATCTTTTTAAGGCTGAAGTGTGGCTTCATTCCAACGGAAGGAAAAAATATTAGGTTATTCTATCATGTGTAGAAGTTACCAACATGCAACAACATCATGTTGTTTGATACATTATGTTTATAAATCGCAAGAAATACTTTATTCTTCATACCATTATATACAAGGTTGCTTACTTTTTCACTCATAATAGAAACATAATTTTGCTTTTTTACCATAATATGTAGCATTTTTTCACATTTCTAGATATGATAGGAATCTTTAACCCGTAAAATGTATACTTTCAGTTATTTGTTTACCATAGCATCTTGATTTAATTTTGTTCTATTAGCGAGATTGTAATTTAAAAAATCTATCAAGATACAACATATGTTTTGATAACATTTTGACAACTGCTTGTATATTTACACCAAATTTCAATCAAAATATATCTTCGAAGGGAAGGGGTATTCACAATCTCGGTTTCTTAGAACAACATTGTATTCTCCCATGGTTTATTTTTCATATCATTGGAGATGATTATTGCAGTATGGCGATGTGCTCTCGCTATAGCTACCTTGGCTAAAAACAACAAATAGAAACCTACTTTCATTCTATTCCATTAATTTGGTAGATTTTTTCAAAGTGCAATGTTGTTATCGGGGAAAAGGGAAGTAAGTTACCATGTCTTGTATTTAACCATAAATACTTTAAATGATATCGTGTGGTGTGGTGATTTATATGAAATGAAAGTATTTTATGTGATGAATACAAAGGATGTTACTCAAATTCCAACAGATTACACTTGCCGAACAGGAGGAAGAGAGGGAACGAGGTTGTGATTGGTTAGTTTGGACTTTACTCAAGGAGGTTGTGATTGGTTAGTTTGGACTTTACTCGTTTGAAATTTTGGTATACCGATTTGTTGGTTTCGTTTTGAGTTAACGCAGAAGGTATTTGCTACCCATGGCGTCATGTTTTATTCAATTGGAATTTACTTTTCCATTATGCTTGCGACTATGCACTTTCATCTGAATTTTACCCTTCAAATCAGTTGATGTTTTTTGGTGGTTGCCTGGTTTTCTATTTTTTATGAGCTTCAGAACTCTCCATCAACTCAATAAGAGGAAATGATAACTTAAAAGCATAAGCAAGCATATTATCAAGTCATGATTTCATATGTATGAATGATTACAACAATCCTGCAAAAAATATAAAACATAATTGCCATTTACTTGTTCATTATAAGAATATAATTTCCATTTCTTTTTCTTATTAATGCTTTGACATTGAAATTTCATGCATTTAAAGCAGAAAATCTTTACTTTTTAGTTATTATACTTTACATTATGGTAAAAAAAACATATCATTATCCTCTGTGGGTCGTGTTTACTGTTTAGCACGGGACTTAAAATTTTCTAATATATATATATATACTCTCAGCCTAAATATACCTACAAACCACATTATTTTCCATGTTAAACAAAAAAGAACCTGATAACAAGTCTATCAATTAACATATATTTCACTTAATTATAAGTAATTTTGTTTGAATACATCATGCTATAATTTTTTTAGCTTAACCCAATAAATCAGATGGTACATATTAAGTTTAAAAACAGCCATGTATACTTATTAGAAGTTTGTCCCGTTAAGTAAAAAAGAAACAAAACTCTAAGAAAACATAACATGGAAACAACTTATTATTCAATAGTAGTGAAATATAACAAATTCAAATATAATTTGCTTCCAGCGTGACAAAAGAACAGGACAATGTTAAGAACAAAAATCCTTAAAAAAAGCTATATCAATAAACTTCCTCAAAATTCAAAATACACATTGTATGTGCAAATGGTGTGTTCACTTTCTTGGGAGATGAGGCTTTATCGACTCCACAACTACCTGTTTTTCACAAAGAACATAATATCAGGATTTCTTCATTAAGTTCTACCTTTTTACTAATTTTTCCTTTCCAATAAGTGTGCTATCCATTTCTCAAATATTTCTTAAACATGTTTTATCCATATATAGTTTCGATGTAAAGTACATGAAAAGTAGTGAAGTTTGACTGTTTGACTAAAATAGAACACAGAGTAGATGTCTTACCCTTCCATCATAAGATAATGATGCAAATATCCAAGGCTCCCGAGAACTCCATGACAAGCCTGTGTTTTCAACAAATGTTATCAACTTAATGCAGAAAGAAAGAACGACTTAATAAATAGATTAATCCCCAACTTTTTACAAATTTGCCCTCAATTATTTCTATTCTTCCAATATCCCATCATTTTCTCAAATATTCATTAAACATAATTTATCAATGGAAGAAAAAAACACATTATCAAATTACCATAAACACTGTCCTCATAGTCATTGTATGTATGGAGCAAAGACTCCGTCCATTTAGTAGTGGAGTTAGACAAGCTGTAAAAATAAAAATAAAATGGTAAGGGGGACAAGGGCAAATACATACTTTTCAACTGTATTCATTCAACACAAAATATAATAAAAGAAGAGACCTATCAGATGTCAATTCATCATTGCTAGCAGGAGCAGCAAACCACAAGTTAACAGCCGAGTCTGTTCCTGCACTCTGCATATATACAATGTATGCCCAATTATAGCATCATACTTTCAATTTACTTATTTATATTACATTTGCTATAATAACTGTGTACATTTTTCAAAGCACAATTTTGTAATAAGAAAAAAATGATATAATAAACAAATAATTCAAAGTATGTTTCTATTTCTTGCATTTACATAAGTGTGTGTGAGAGAGAGAGAGAGAGAGAGAGTACAAGAATGACTCCTTCATACTCAGGATTACTTCTAACAGCCCAAGTCCTGCATAAAAAGAAAGAAAAGACAAGAGTCAAATGAAAAAGTTAGGTAATCAGATTACAAAAAATGATAATTTATTTATTTTTATATCAATAATTAACAAAATATAATATTACCAGTGTGAATGTCCAGGGAGCTCTGCAACAGGAGCCTTCGACATTCTAAGATCCCATATATGAATACCAGATTCATCTGCAGCTGTTACCTATAATTTTTTTTTACAATATTTAATTACCATAATATAATAGTTATGTATGATGAACTTGAATCAAAGAACTTACAAGCATATGTTTGTTCTTGCTATCATAGTCTATATTACGAACATGGGAATACTCGATTGAATTTGTTTTCCTGATAATTGATAAACACGCATGTAATTAGTAGTACTTCAAAAGCTCCCAAAATTTATAATAAAATCTAACAGCAAGTTGCACAATAAACTCAATTTTTCATTCAAATGAGAAATTGTTGAAGAAACAAGATCTTTTTTTCTGCATAACTAAAAAGGGGGAAGAAAGTTTGACCAAAGTCAGAGCATACTTCATAGTCCGTAAGTCCCAAAACTGGATAGATGATTCAGAAGTTGATGCAACAACATTTACATCATGTGGGTCCCATGCTCCACCTGAAATATGATGAAGCATCCCAGCAGACTCCTGAGATTGTACCTATATATATATTTCATGAACAAGAAACTTTCTTAAATACTATAAAGTGTTATATTGTAGCTCTCAGATTTTCACATTTTGATTAGTCTAAAGAATCTTGCTCTCTTATACCTGTGCACTCTTCTTTGAAGAATCTAAGCTCCAAAGAAAGATATTCTGCTCATCAATACTGATCAACTTATCATGTCTTCCAGATGGCCACCATAGCACACTGCCATTATAAGAATGATCATAAATAAGTCATTACTACATTACATATAATGATGCAAATTGCAAATACAAGAAATGAAATCAATGGGCTTTTAGGAAGAAAGAAAACATAACTCACCACTTAATCTTTGAGCTGTGTGCATCGAGTGAAGCAATGCATTCCAACTGAGGAGAATTTGACTGGCCATACAGTTCAGGTATCTGCCACACAGCCGCTTCATATGATTCACCTTCAACAGCAAGATATTAACAGGAAACTTTATACAACACTGAACTCAAATGGGCTACTTTTTCTAAACAAAAATGTAAGTCAAAATTGCAATCATGGCTTAAAATTGGAAAACCTCAAAATTCCAGATTCATAATGCATTTCCCTACCTTGACCAAACTAAAATCATATCTGGTACCAGTATCTTTGATCAATAAATCCTATTAGAGCTACTTCTCTAGTAAAACAGATGAATTCTTCTGGATTTTTATCTAGATCTCACTCTTAGCTTAGTTTAACCAAGTCATTTAGTGCTTATAACCACGAACATCGCAATCATAATCACAATTAAGCAGATAATAGATTAATTACCAGAAGAGAAGACGGTAGAGAAGATTCGTTGATCAAAAGGGCAAGAAGCAAGGTCCCATATCTCATTCGGATGGGAAAACAAGCCCTCGCAAACAAGTTCCGTACCACCTGATGAAAGCCTAATCAGATGCACCTGAAACAAACAAAGATGAAGAAGTTCAATACGACGAAAATCAAAACTTCACATATAGAACACTCACGCAAATCAGAGATCAAATAAACAACTCAAAACCTCATTTTCTTCTTTGAGACTGAGAGTACCGGTGAGGAAACTGGTGTGATCTGTATCGGCTTTCACATCCGCTATACATCTTGCCTGTTAAAAAAAAGTTAGAAATCGAGTAAATGCCGATGTAAAGAGTGAGAATTTGGAGGACAATTATGGTGAAATGCAGATCGATTGAAGGGGAATTTTGAGGGGGTTTGGGTGTGTGAATGGGTTTTGTGTGATCGATTTTCACCTGATATTTGAGACCGTAACCAATTCCAGTTGATCCTCCTTGCATTTGAGTAAGGATTTCTTGCTTTTTCGTCAATCAGCTGATGAAGATCTTTAGGGCTCTTTCTACAGTTAAAACTTGCACCTTACAAACGACTTCGGACATAATTTAATATTTAAATGGTTTCTTTCAATACAAAAAATAGTCATGTTTTTTAGTTTTATAGCGTAGTTTTATCATTCATGTTATGTCTACCCTCACAATCACAATTGATCATAAATATTTGTTCTTTTCACATACACATAAAAAAAACAATAATAATAATTATAATAATAATAATAATAATAATAATAACTACAGCAATTTGCAAGGAAAATACTCACAAAATGTAAACTGATTTGACATGACTATACACTTGATAATTTTCAAACTTATAAATGTCTCAATACACTATTGTATAGGGATAAGCATCTGGAGAGCTGAATACCCAAGAACCTAAATACACAGATATATAGGACCGGTTTTTTATGTTCATCCCTACTATTGTATGGCTTTCACCGATTTTTCATCCACTCGTCCAATATTTATTACTTTGATGAAATATAGCTCAAATTAACTTATTTTTACATAATTAAATCAACATTGCCACGATTAACTCAAACGAACTTATAATATAATATACTTCAACCCACAAAATAAAAACACAGCCAACGAACATTTTACAAGGAAAATACTCACAAAATGCAAAAACGAGAATCTGTCTACTTTCATACATTCCTACATTGCCATCAAAATATTACCACAAACAACAAAAAAAAAAATACAATAAAAGATATTTAAAAAAGTCTACCAACACGTTTCTACAAAGTTACCCTAAAAAACCCTAAAGTAAACCAAAGCCAAAACCTTCAAACAAATACCCTTTTAGTCGGGGACCAAACCGCTGTATTCCTCGTCTTTTGTCAACTCTAATAAACCCATCCCCCGGCGAGCATTAACCACTGTACAGTCCAGGTTCAGGGTTTTTTTTTTTTTTTTGGGTAAAAAGGATAATAACCCGGTAATATTATTAATGAAACAACAAATATTATAGAGAAGAATTCAGGATTGGGTGTGGATGCTTGTACCATGTGCTTCATGACTTGTACTTTTAATACCTATTCCACACATGGAGACGAACCGAAACTTAAAAGTTAAAACCAGGATTATTTAATCCGAAAGCAACTCTTCAAGTTCGGGTAATTCAGATATCAAAGGATCATCATCGAGACTTGTATCGTTGACTAAATGTTGAAATTGAGGCCCGATGAGATCATCATCTTCGTCTTGATCCTGATCTAACGGTTCAGATTCGTTTTCGGTATCTTGATCGGGGACTAATGATTCATCGGTGGGGTCGATAAGATTGTTTTTACCGAATTTTCGAGGGAGTGATTCGAGTTTTGATTTGGCTTCCGGGTCTTCGCATATACAAGTGGCGGGGTTTTCATGGAATTCACCTCGCCCGGGTCTTACTTCTTTTGGCTCACCCATGAAACCTCTTTGATGTGTTCGTACGCGTGATGAGAATTCCTCCCATGTTGTGTTTTCTCGGTTTAGGAATAAACGGTAGAGTTTTTTAGCGTTTGGGCGGATTGTTGGTTTGTGTCCAAAGTATCTCCTATTATATAAAAACCAGTTAGTTTCACTGTTTAAAGCTATGTTTGACAGACTAACTGAAAAGCTAGCTGCCAGCAGATAAAATGACATTTAGTAAAACTAGCCAATAGGAAATGTAAAACGACATAAAAATTAAAAATTTTTGTCTAACCCAACAAGGTGGGATGGAAACGCACTCTCGATATCTTGTATGTGCAAAAGACGTAAATGCCCTTCTCATCCTCATCATAAAAAATAGCCCTGTGAAGCTCGTCTTGTCCCGTTCAATCTAGTCGTGTCCCGTGTAACAAAAGCAGCCAAAGGCTGCGTTTGTTACATAGAATAGAACTATACGGGACTGGACAAGCTTTATAAGGCTATTCTTTATGATGAGGATGAGGAGGGTGTTTACGTCTTTTGCACAAACAAGATATCGAGAGCGTGTTTCCATCCCACCATTTAGGTAGGACAAAAAATTATAATTTTATCAGTCCCGGTCCCGGTCCCACTCTAATGCATGCCAAATAAATAATTATTAATGACAAAATATATTGTGTTTTGATAAAAATATATTGTGTTTTGATAAAAATAAAAATAAAAATACCTGTATTGTGTTTTGAATCAATAATTATTAATGACAAAATATATTGTGTTTTGATAAAAATAAAAATAAAAATACCTTCGTCCGGCTAAAATTTTTGCCATATTTCCATTGTTATTGGTAACGAAAACGTCACTTTCATCGCAGACTATGAAATCAAGTGCAGCCATACGAGAAGAGAAGGCGGAAAATGGTTCCAATTCTTCTTTAGGGGCAATTGTGTCTTTTGAATGAATGTTGGGGAAGAGTGCTCTCAAAGGAGCCAATGTGTCATCTCCACCATATACTTCACCTGAAGCCACATAAAGATGAACATCTTTGCTATATCCAAGTGCTCTCAGCATTAGACCTACTTCTTCAGGTGTAAGTGGACACCTCCCTTGTCTCCTTTCTTTGTCCGGATTGTTGCTCTGTGATTATATCAAAAACAAAATGCACTTTATTATAGCATTTGTTTCACTTTGGATAAAGTTGAGGTCAAAATTTTATGTGTCATAAATTATTATAACTAAAAGCATGAGGATTAAGTGCTTACATGTAAAGTTTTCCACCTTTTTCGTATTTTACCGAGTTCTTTTCTTTCCTTCTCTCCACCACCATAATAGCATCCTGAAAATGCAAGCATATCAGGTTCAAACCTGTATTTTAAAATGGTCAAAGTTGTAGTTAGCAGAAAGAATGCAATTTTTCAAATCACTCACAAAATAAATGGTAAAAGTAACTTAGCAATGCACTTACATTTATTTGTGTATTATAGTATCCTACTTTCATTTATTACTATTACAACATTGAAAAAATATACCCACTTGTAGCATTATAACTTTAAACTTTTTCTTATTATGATATTGCTATAATTAGGTGGACTTTTCAAACTACAATGCTTTAATAAACAAATCAATAAAAGTAATTTGTTGTTTCTTGAATTGAACCCTAGAACAAAATCATCTAGATAAGGGATTGGGAATGAAAATCATATTGACACTAAAACTATTTGCTTAAGTGCATACCTCAGGTGTAAAGCAACATAGTGCTTGCCCATCTTCCTCATTTGGTTGACCAACTTTTGACCCATTTTATTTATAGGATCAGTGAACCTTAAAGCATGATAATTTACTCTACATCTAAGCTTTTGCAAATCTGTCTCCAACTTGTTAGAAAGTCTGTAATCAAATTTGCTCAGCTGAACAGCCTGCCCAAAAAAAGAAATCATAAAATATATTTAAACTTTAAAAACCATTAACAGCCAGCCCTAGCTTTCTAGAGCTATTTTCAGTGACTGAGGGCATTCACGTCTTTTGCACACAAAGTAGTGAAGCACACTAATGATGGCATCAAACAACCCCAAAAGAGAAGTTACATTACATTGTCATCAGAACTAATGCAAGACACTATATGCTTATAAAATACACAATGCAGAATTGGAGAAGGTATAACTTACATGTTTCTTCAAAAGCACAGGGAGTACACGAATCTGATAGCATCTCTCATTACACTTTCTAGGAACACGCATATTATAAGGAGTCCAAATCTTGCCTCCTTTCTTTGGAAGTTCTTTTATCACTTTCACATCTCTTGATAGATGTGATATAAACCACTCAACATCAAAGATCTCTGAAAAAGTACTGTAAAAGAAAAGGGTATTATGAGTAACCTAGCATCCTTCCAAATTTTATTATGAACCCATTCATGTATATAGTATGTATGTGCAATCATTTCTCTGTGACTAACCTAGCATCCTTCCAAAAAGACTTCTGGTCTAGTTTTGGAACAACAAGAGTAGCATTCAGAATACGTGCAGCAACAACAGCATCTGTAATCTGTGAAAATAGTAATGTACCATTTATAGTTGAGAAATTATAAGAAAAAAAAAAAAAAAAAAGATTCTATGGTGCATAAAAACAAAAATAAGTAATTGTTCAAATTTAGATTTGGTAAAGAGATAATGAGACGATTGAGACTTACCCCAGTTCGTTGTTGGTTTAAACCCCCACTTGTGGCTATCAATAGGTATCGATTAGGATATGTGACTGTTTCCACTTCTGTGATTCAGTAAAACATCCAGATCAAACATACATTTCTGGAAAACTCCAAAAACTCCTGTATTACTAATTACTCAGATTATTCCATTTGTCACTTACTTGGAAACTTATTGCTGGCATTACTACATCCAAAATAAAATTTCGACATCCTTGTATTCCATAAACTTCGATCATTTCCCATCCCACCACTGATCTAGATCCCAAATCATGAAAAAGTTGCATCCAAATTAGTTAATATGACAAAAGCCAGATCCAATCGCGATTCCAAAATCACACTACAACAATCCAAACTTCCAATTTGAACAACGACAAAATTAACTTCTTTCGCAAAAAAATTACAAAAAAAACTAACCGGAACTTTGAAGAGTGAATGAACTAGAAGTGAGTCATCATCGGACTGAAAAAAAAAATCATTACTGTAAACTTAACAATTGGTGAAATGAACGTGTTCTTTTATCCATACATAAACGAATACAAGTAGCAGCGAGTGCAATATTTAGAAATCAATTACCGTCTTCCGCCGTACAAGATGGTGGGGATGGTCAGGGGAAGGTGCAAGCAGGGAGATGAAACCGTACAGGATGAGAATAGCAGCGGAAATTACAGAAATAGCCGGAATAAGGTAACGGAACCGGTTATGAGTGTTGTGGTGGTGGTGGCGCCGACGGTGGATAGCCATCGCCGTGGTGGTTTCTCTCTCTAAAAACAACTCCGTTTTAGAGAGAGAAGGTAAATGAAAAGGGAGGGAACACGATCTATCTACTACTGTCAGGATTTATGATTAATTTTGGGGAGGTTTATTCGTTTTGGGCCTTGAAGACGAAGAGAAGAAGCCATTTTTAGAAGTGCCTATTTTTCTGTAGTTGGACTTTTCGAGTAGGGATTTTTGCTTTTGCTTTCAATATATCTAACTTTATAGAGAAAACTTATTTTATATATAAAAAAAAATAAAAATAAAAACAGTTTCACGAAAGCATTATATTTTTAACCTATATGAAAATAAAACCCATTATTTTATTTTTATCATTTAATAAACCATCCATATTTCTAACAGTTTTAGACAATCAATAAATATTTAAATGAAAACTTTTCATAACATATCATTTTTTACATGTAGTTAATTTGTGATTATGAAATAGTAGGGCTGTAAACGAACTGAACGTTCGGCGAACCGTTCGTGAACTGTTCGGCGGGAAGTTCGTTTATGTTCGTTTATTTAATGAATGAACGAACATGAATAAAAATTATCGTTCGTTTAGTTAAATGAACGAACATGAACAATGGTCTCGTTCGTTCATTTATGTTCGTAAACGTTCGTTTACGATGTTCATTTACGTTCGTTTATGTTCGTTCGTTTAAGTTTATTTATATTCATCTATATTCAATTATTTTTTATTATATTGCTATATTATATGTTCATATATGTTTAATTGTGTTTTTTTATCTTTGTTCGTTTATGTTTGTTCGTTTATGTTCGTTTAGCATGTTCACGAACATAAATGAACGAACATGAACAAAGTAATTTGTTAAACGAACGAACATGAATAAGAAAATTCCGTTCGTTTATCCATTCGTGTTCGTTTGTTGTTCGGCTAAATTAAACGAACGAACATGAACAAGACCTTGTTCGTGTTTGTTTGGTTCGTTTAGAGCCCTATGAAATAGTATTTGTTAAGGTAAGGATGAAAATAGGTTGATTGTTTATTAAGAACATATCAAAATCAAAAATTTTGATTTTTAACATATTAAATCGTTTTTGTTTTGTGTTTTCTTTTTATTTAGATTTTATTGGTTTCTTTATGAAAAGATGTTGCTAAAATTTAATTACAAAAACCAGGTAATTTCTTAAAACATAATACAAGTCCAAGTAAACACTTGTTGATTATGTTTAAAAAATTGGTAAATTACACAGATGGTCTCTATGGTTTAGGGTAATTTGCGTGTTTGATCTCTAAAAACTTTTTTTAACCCGGACCATCCTTAATTTATATTTTTGTTACACGTTTGGTCCTAATCTGACCTAAAAAGACTAATATGTCATTATTAATTTCTTTTTTAATTTTCTTTTATTTATTTATTAATTTAAACTAAAAATAAAAGTAAAAAACAATCTCTTCACCAACCCACCCCTCCCCCTTCCTTCTTTTCGTCCCTTGTTTCCTTCCGTCCCTTAGCTCTCTTGAAAGAAAAAATGGCGGACCCTGAAAAAACTCTCGATCCTCTCTCTGCTCTACTAATGAACTCCGGCGTACACTGCACCGGAAATCGTTCGTCGGAAATGCTACAATGGATAGAAGGCAGATGTGTGGTCACTCCAACGACTCTTCCTCACTTTCCTCTATTTTTCGTCCAAGCATTTTTAGACGACCCTGGACCTCCTACCACCCCCGTTCTGACGCCGCCTAGATAGGGTTTTAAGTGTGACATCCCCAATTTCACGGCCAGAAAAAGACCGATTTGTTTATGCTTTGTTTTATAAATCATAGTAATCGTTTAAAGAAAACGGTTGCGGAATTTGTTCTCAAAACAAAATATGATAATAACTTATCAAAACATTTCTCAAAGAGAATGTATTTTTTTTATTTAATAATAAAACATCGGGATGTCATGTTCCGATACATACCAAAAGCATAAACAATATAAAATAGACCTTACAACAGTTATTTATAACTACTGATCTATAATCCAAAATCTCTCGTCAGGTCCACCAACTTATACTTTTTGTGCCATTACCTGTAATGCAAAGAAAACTGAGTGGGTCAGGCTTGGGAGCCTGGTGAGCATATAGGGTTTTTCAACCCACAATAATACATTTATTATATTCAGTTACAATCAACCCAAATACCCATCCCCGTATCTCCTTTATTTTCTCAAGGGTTTATCCTAAGAATCAACTATCCTTCATTCATTCATTCCTAAGGATTTACCTAAGGAATTGGCACAAAGTCCATTTGCTGCCACGGTTTATACAACAAGCACCACATCACATAGTCACCAGGGTTCATACGATAGGCACTACGTCTCATAGTCACCAAGGTTTACACAATAGGCACTACCCTCGCATAGTCACCAGGGTTTACACAATGGGCACGAAGTCACATCGTCACCAAGGTTTATCAAATAGGCACGAAGTCGCATCGTCACCAAGGCTTACTCAGTAGGCACGAAATCGCATCGTCACCAAGGTTTTACTCAATAGGCATGAAGTCGCATAGTCACCAAGGTTTTACTCAATAGGCATGAAGTCGCATCGTCACCAAGGCTTTACTCAATATGCACGAAGTTGCATCATCACCAAGGCTTTACTCAATAGGCACTACGTCTCATAGTCGTCGATATTTCATCTACCCATGTTCTACCCGACACATTTGTAGATATAAAATACATATACAGTTTAAATCATTTAACACCCGTATAAAAACATCAATTCCAAGCCCATATCAAAATAAACAAATAATATATATAACAATAGCACGTATTTCATAGCTAATACTTTATATTTATGTGTTAGAAGAAAGTAACTATACACTCACTTGATCAGGAGATGATCGGACAGCACTACGGCTTGTAAAACTAGTATTCTTCAGTAGATCTGGAAGATCTTCACAAAAACCGGGCTCCTCGCGGACAGAGATTCAGCTCGGGAATTTCACTTCTCGGGATCTTCGGGGCCTCAGGACTTGCTTCGGGCTCGGGAATGATATCGGGGCTTCGGGATATTTCTTGTACGAAAAACGATGCAAAAACGCGATAGAAAGGGAAGAAATGAGCAAAGAACTCAGTTGCCCTCGCATCCCTTTTATAGGGGCTGAACGACCGAATTACGCTGGGTGTAATTAAGGTTACGTTGGGCGTAACCTGGATAAGTTCGCTGACTCCCCCCCCCCCTCCTTTGGATAATATCATAAATTTATATTTATATTTAATATCGAATTTATTTAATAAACTTCAAAAATTCATATCTCCCTCATACGAGCTACGTTTCGACGTTCCCCGCATAGGTGAGACTACGCTCTACAACTTTCGTTTAGACTGCGTCGGCTAATTTTGACTTTATTCTTATTATTTATTTTTAGTAGGCCGAGACAGGAAAACTCCGTTATAAATTCATAACTTTTTCATTTGACGTCCGTTTTCGCCTATATTTTTATCGTTTCACTACTATTAACAAGATCTTCGATTCCTGTTTATATTGTTTTGGCTAAAAACCGCTCGATCTCAAATCGAGTATTCGGGCTGCATACTGCTAAGTCGAAACTTAGAAAAATCATAACTTCCTCATACGAAGTCAGATTTGGACGTTCTTTTTATGCACGCTCACGGTTTAACGTATTCTACGACTTTCGTTTAGATCACTAAGGCTAAATATCGCTCTAACGTAAATTCACTTTTTACGTCGCGCTGTGTCGTGTCGGTTACGTCGCGAAACTTTGACAGGTCATAACTTCTTCGTTATAACTCGGATTTCGGCGTTCTTTATATGTGTGGAATCCTTGTAACATATACTATAACTTAGTTAAGATTAATCATTCTAAATCATCTTTCATCAAAAAGTTATTTTTGACGCTTATCGTCTCTAAATTGACTAGCCCTGATCTACGGGCGTTACATTAAGTTTACCGGTCGTCCAAGTGTGAGATCGAGCTTGTCTGTGTAGAGCTGCGAAAGGTGTCATCACCCCAATCTTCCTCATTTTATGTGAAATACTCCCAGGAAATAGAAAACCTTTTAAGTTTCTTTCTTTGCAACAAGGAATCATCACTAACATACCTACAAGCTCTGGGAAGATCATTGTTCATGATAGGGTTCATGGTTTACAAAGCCATGTTCTGATTTTGCTAAACTCTTGGTTCTAATTTTGCTAAACTCTCACATGAAAGCATTAGGGTTTCGAATTTTCCAATTTTGCATCTGTATATTTTTTGGTGTATATCTTAAAATTTGGTGGTAAGATTTCTTTTTCTGATTTGGGTTTTTGCATGTAGCTTGAGTTTTGGATTTTGATTTCGGATTCATTTTAGTTTTGGATGATATCATTTGATTTGGTGTGGTGAGGGTTATTCAGAATGAGGACAACAAAGAGGGGTTTCCGGTGATGGTTATGTATATTTCCTGGTGTAGATTTTCCGGTGGTAGCGGTGGGTGTTGTTCTTAAATGAGAGAGAGAGAGAGAGAGAGAGAGAGAGAGAGAGAAGGGGAGAGGTTCAGGTGGTATAGGTTCTTGAATCAGGCTAATGTTTATCTGGTTAATATGTTTTCCACATTTAATTAATATTTTTTTAATAAACTGATAATTTAAAAAATGTAAAAGAAATCAGTAAGGATAAATCAGTCTTTTTAGACGGGACAGGGACCAAGCACGCAACCAAAATGTAAAATAAGGATGGTCCGAGTTAAAAAAAAGTTTTTAGGGACCAAACAAGCAAATTACCCTAAACCATAGGGATCATCCGTGTAATTTATTCAAAAAAATTAATTGTAATTGCATAATAATTATTTTAATTTTTATACTTCATTAGTTAAACATATATATAAAATGGTACACTTTTTGGTATTTTGGTTTAGTTTGTTTTTCTTATTTTTTCCGTATTTTGGTTTAGTTTGTTTTTCTTATTTTTTCCATATAAAAAACATTGGTCATTCTTGATGCAGGTAGAGGACACAAAGGAAAGAAAACGG